GGTCTGCCTGTGTCCAGTGTCTGTGTCCAGGCTGTGGTCAGTGATCCTGTCCTCTCTGGACAGCCAGGTCTGCCTGTGACCTGGGGTCAGTGATGGGGAGAGTGTCCTCACCTGTCCTTATGCCCCCGGACAGGAGCACATGCTGTACCTGCAGAGGCTGGAGCAGCGCGCCCGGGAGACCGACCTGGAGCACTGGCTGAACCCGCACTGCTTCCCGCGCTGCGACCGCAACTACGTGCACCCGGTCTGAGCCTGGAGGGGCCCCGGCGCGCCTGTCCCCGGGGGTCGGTATAACGCACGCGCTCTCCTCGGGACCACCGATCCGGGCGCAATTCTGCCGCCGCGAGACGCTCAAATGCGTTTCCTTTCTCTGCAGAGCGCGAGCCTGGCAGCACGAGCACCCAGAAGCGTCCTGCCCGAAGATGATTTCTGCCCGGAGAGCCTCTAGAATATTCTGATAGTAGTCCTATAGCCAGCCCCTCTGTATGCATTCTTAAAGCAACTGGCTTTTGTACTAAGGGTGTGATGACACCTGTCCTTTTAGAAAAAAAAAACCCTCTGTGACTTTATCCTGAATATTAAAAAGAGTGAAAAGCTTCTTGCATGTCTCTGTCTTCCCGGAAGTGAGACTTGTTACCCCGGCTGGAGATGCGGATTGTCTGGACTCGGGCCGCAGCCGTGGTCACATCTGGCATCATTTGTTTGTTTTTTTTCACGGTAAGAAAAAAATAAATAAATTCTGAAAATGACGGAGGAGCAAAACGATCTGATTATATATTTTAAATCGTGTCTGACCGAGCGCGGCCTCACTGGGCTTTTTGTACTTCGCGTGCTCGAGAAGCGAGGCGCCCGCGCTCCTGCGGACCCGGGACCGAGCACACGTCCTCTGACCGATCCACAGCTCGAGGTCCCGCCACTCCCGTGTGAATTCCACGCACGGGTGTCACTTCTAGCGATGCGGTGGGAATTTTGAGGCGGAGGGGAAACCGTTCCTGTGAAAACGACCTCATTTGAAGTAAATAATGGCGAACAAGGAGATGGTCACTGCACACTTACAGGGAGCAGCTGTCTGAATAGACCCTTGGGTGGACCGACACAAAGGCCACCTCCTCAGCAGTGATCGCTGCACTGGTCTGTTTATTGGTGCTTTTACTGACTTGCTCAGGGAAGCTCGTAAAGGACATACTGTACATTCCCGAACTCGCCAGAGTACCGTCTCACACCTGCGGCTCCGTCCGGGGCCGGGTTGTGGTGGGCGTGGGCCCCTGGCACTTTCAATTCAATTCAATTCAAGGTGCTTTATTAGCATGGCCGATGGGTACAATTAGTGTTGCCAAAGCAAATAAAAATAATGAAATTCACATGAAACAAAACAAAAATAAAAGTAAAATAAAATCTACAGACATATTACAGACATTCACTTTCACTCTGACGTGCAGAAGGAGGGGGACACGCCAGTTGAATGAGGTCGACTGACATGATGCACTTTAAACTCTTCTCATGCTGAACCACATGACTGACGGAGTCGAGCGACCATCACTCCGATACCTTAGTTTCTAGACTAGCTGCTAGAGAGCGGATAGTTATTGATTTGGAGCTCCTGGAGTCGTTCGCAAGCGTGTTGTTTCAGCTCGTTTTTCGTCAGTCACTAGTCCGGCACGGACTCTGTCAAGATCCGAACTCTCCCTCCTTTGTCAACACGCGATTCACCGACCGACCTGCGCCGAACTGGCGCGACACCGCCCCCTGGTGGACAGAAGGAGAAGCAGCAGCACCTCTCGGCTTTCCCTGGTGTGTGATCAAGACAAACACTACAGATCCACGCAGGGTACTGGCTTCCAGGATAATAATAATAATAATAATAATATTAATATTCTCTGGAGATCAGTGGCAAATAGCAACGCGTAGTGTAAATTCTCACAAAAAGTTCTACTTATTAAAGTAATTAACTGTAAGTAGAGTATCTGCACGGTGTTATGGTCAGGGCTCGGGTTCAAATCGCAGGCTTGGATTTGGGGCAATAGTGAGGCAGTAACTGCTGTTGGGCTCGGGGTCCAGGTAAGTCTCCCCATTATCAAAACGCCGTGGCTTCATCAAATGGAAGTCTACTTTAATAAAAGAGTCACACTAATAATTCAGTCGTGAGGGGAAACTCCCCGATGTTAGCTGTCCGAATCTGTGGGCATCTTAAGTCTGCTCGGCTGCTATAATTCAAACGTGTTTAAAAGAGCAGGGACCTCCGCCGTTTGTTAACGAACTGTGTTGAACTTGTGGGTGATTCATTTTAACAGCACAAGTGTCCCTTCTTGTCCGAACACTACCAGATTGTGAAGTTTCGGCATTTTTGTAGTATTTAATAAAAACCCCGAACATCAATTCCATGAACCCACAGGAAACGTCATGGCGCAGATATGAACTGTTCTGTTGCGATTTCCTTCTCCTGTGAAAGAAAGACCAACAGGCTCAATTTAGCTTCTCACGTCAGACTGAAAGGGAACCGCAGTTGTTAACTGATCTATTTTAGTCGCCTGTTTATATATTAAACAGTACAATGTGTTAGCTTCTTTCTACGATTAAAAAAAAAAAAAATAATCCCGCATAGCAAACAGGGGGAATATAAACGACACATCCTGGTTTTCCGACACGATCCTGCGGTAAAACGACACAATCTTTATTTTCCGACACAGTCATCGGGCGGTTTCAACAGCGCGCGCCTGAGCGGGGTCGGCTGCTGATTTCAGGCCAACACGGGGGTGACTTGGCCCAGTCTGAACCCAGTCCGGGCTCGGGGGTCCCACCAACACGCTGGAGTGTGACTGCAGGACTGTGTGAAGGTGGAGTACAGACAGCAAGACCCTGCCTTCTGCGCGCCGGGTAAAACCACAGTTCAGTAAACATCGAAAATCTCTCTCTGAAAAATAAACGAGGCTTCGTAAACAACAGGCTTGTGCATTAAGCTGAATTGTCGGCAGAAGAGCAGTTTCTAACGCCAATTAGCAACAATAGGAAACTGCTCGATACAAATGGCCCTTCTTTGAAACGGAGTTGCAAATATCCGACGGAGGAGGAAAAACATATATAAGAAACTTCATTTTCCGCTTTGGCCACGAATATAATACTGTCACGAGTTAAACTAGTTGGCACATACGGCCACCGGGGAGCACGCCCGGCTGTCTGGACGAATGAGCACCATGAAGGGCACGAGGTCGCCGCGGCGCTCGTGTCGTTACTGCCGGGGCAGCACGTGGCGAAGCGCCGTCGGGTCTCCCGGCAGGAGGCGCGTGCAGACAGGGGTGACCTGGAGCTCTGCAGCGACCGGGGTCCCCCTGGCGCCTCCGGCCAGGCGCGCCTGGAATAAGCGGGTCACCGGGGGGCCTGTGCGCGCTCTGGGCTGGGGCAGGCCGAGGCGTCTAAACTGGGTGATACAGAAAATGTGTTTTTCGGTACCGAGTAACATTTATTTCACGCTGCTCTTCCCTGTTCATAAGCAAGCCCCTTCAGTGGTGTAGTGTTCCCCAAACTGTTTTGTTTACAATCGCATAAACTGTACTCGTCGAAGCACAAGCTGTGAGAACATGTTTTTGTTTTTAATTTTTCGCCTACATGTCAGATAGGCGGACAGCGCGCTGCTGCCCGAGGGGAGGAGGGCTCGCCGCGCACCACAGCCCACACCAGGCCACACAGTTCTGTCCTGGCGATCAGACGCGAGAGGCCCACGCCGTGACAACTGAACAACTAGAGAAATGGACTCATCTGCGACAGAACCGAAACACGTCTTGCTTTAGAACTGATCCCACCTCGCCCTCCCCATTTAAAAACCAGACTTGTTTTTTTATGTTATAAGGTGTTGCGTTGCTCATTCGTTTGTGGAGAACCCGACCATATTTCGTTATTAAAATGCGTGAGAGGTGCAATGAATTTCAATGAACCTGAAATATAGGTTCTTATGCCTGTGCTGGAGGAGCGCGCGATTAGCCTTTACTTGTTCCCAAGTTACGTCATTGGTTTTAATGAGTTCCCGTTATTAATTTTGCTAAGTTCATAATATTGGTATAACTGAGTATACATTATTAGTATTGCTACTTATACACTATTAGTATTAAGAGCATACATTTTTAGAATTCCCAAGTGTATATTATTTGTATTACTGAGTATAAATTAATATTTCTGAGTACACATTATTTGTATTCCTGAGTATAAATTATTAGAAGGCCCAATTGTTTCAGAGGCGGGCTCTTAGACACTGGTTGGAAATGTCAGCGCTTACGGGTCACTTGGTTTCTTCGTCTTTAAAGCTGTTCAGAGCTCTTGAACAAGACAAATTAAAACCGGCAGTACAATTCAAACACGTATAATCACGGCAGAAACCTACAGGTTTCAAATGGTGTCTACAAATCGAATTTTATTTCCTCGTTGCGGCATTAAATGCTGATTGCAAGCCGAGATGGGGGAAGAAACAAATCACAAAGGGTTCATTTTTTTTTATAAAACCGGACAACAGCAGAAACCTTCCTCTTTCCACACCGCGGTATCGCCGAGGAGACGCCTAACGGGAGGATGGTGGGTTTCAGTACAGCGCGTCATTTTCGTACTGGCCAGATGTTTAAAACAGGGCGGACGAAGACGCACTCCGAGCGCAGCCTGGAAACCCCGGGAGAGTCCAACTTCCGATTTCAACCCGAGAACAAACCAGGAAACATCAGGGCCCGAACCGCAGTAACGGCTGGGGAAAGCAGACCAGGTCCTGCGGTATTTTATGTTCATTCAGAACGAGCAAACAAGGAAATGACGCCGTCTGTGCCGGGAGAACCCCGTCCAGGGAAAGAGGCGGGCCCGTGGTCATATCTGGACCATCACTGGCGACCCAGGAGAAACAGAACCGAGCCGCAGAGGCCGATAGAAAAGTCTCACTACAAATTTGGAAAAGAAAGAATATCGAGCCCGCTGTAACCGAACTGGCGTCCAGGCCACGTCAGAGGCGTCTTGTGCCCAAGTGTTTTATTGACAAGGGGACAAAGCCCGTTTTCTGTTAACTGCAACACAACTGGAGTCGGCTGTCTGATGGGGGCATTAATGCATTAATTAACAAGGTGAATTAATGAATGTTCTCGAACTAATTATCTATTTACCTCCATTGACAGGAATGATATAAACCTCACTCAGCAAAAGCGAAATGTTTCACCACCCCTAAAATATGACCGTATTTCGCTCGTTTAATTTCATCATTTATCTGTCTCCAGTAGATAACAATCCTTGGTATTTACTAACATTATAACACTGAGATTAATACTAAGATTAACCCTCCAGTGGGTGATACTAAATCATTTTCACCCGACCGCTGGTTTTACACGGGAGGCTCGCCACAACCTCCAAAGATTTAAGCTAAAAATAAGACTTTACTGTTATCCTTGAATAAAAAAAAAGCTTTTCAAGCATTAATGTACATATTTATAGTCGATTAGAACTTCATTGAAACTTTATTAGGAACTGCGGTCCCACTACCTAATTTTATTGTTCAGATTTTTTTTTTTTTACGACCTATAGGTATAGTGCGGAGAGCAGACGCTGACCTGACTTCTGCAATCCTTCTCTTCTCTCTGGGTCACGGGATTCTGTGGTCCAACACGACAGTGCAAAGCAGAAGAAAAAACGATACGTCAACAGGTCACATGACCACGGGTCCACGCTTGAAGGAGAAGCACCTACTTGACAGTCTCTGCGGCGTGCAAGCGCTTCAGGGCGGCGGTGTCCGGTTCAGGGAGAGCCCTACACGCAGGCCTTCAGGTGACCAGCGCAGGTGTCCGCGCTGTGGCCGGACGTGAGCCGGGAGAAAGCTCCAGGGAATTTGGTCATCACATTAAATAAACGCTTTGAAAAGTACACACACGTGTAGTATATATATATATCATCTATATATAGAGAAGTTCTGTTTCTGTACAATCATAGAAAATTATTTATCACGTTTGAATAGAAATTTCCGCTCGTGTTTTTTTTTTTTCCTGTTTCAGTTCGGGGAGGGGGGAAAACGATCTCTTCAGATCGGCCAAGGAAAACCCCCGCTTCCCAAAACAAGACCACCGGAGAAAGGAGTCATCTCTTCTCCTTGAAGAAGCCCTCGTCTGTGCTGCTCTCCTTGATGGTCACCGTCAGGCAGTTCGTCGTCACGTCCGTCACCACCACCTTCTCCACGATGTCCAGCGACGGGGTCCAGGAGTCTTCGCCCGGCTCCGAGGGGCCCCTCTGGGGGTCGCCGCCCGGCGGGGCGCAGGCCGAGGGGTACGTGAACTGTAACCTGGGGTGCGAGCAGGCCACGGCACCAGGACGCTCCTCAGTCCTGCAGGCCGGGGGCTCGTACCCGGGCCTGCGCGCGTGGGCGCCGCCCTGCAGGCCATAGCCGTGCGAGCTGCCCCCCGGCCGGGCCCACCCCCCCCGCTGGAGGCAGGCGCCGTCCTCGTGCTCCCTCCGGGCCAGCTGGATCACGCTCAGGCCCGGCCCGGCCTCCTCCGCCGGGCTCCTCCGCGGGCCGCAGTCCGGCGGCGTCTGGAACCGGCACTTGGGCTTGGGCCCTCTCTTGCGGTGCTCCCGGGCCGGCTCGGCGGGCCGCACGCGCACGCTCTCGCCCCTGTTGACGGTGCTGGGCGGGAAGATGGTGGGCACGATGGTGCGCAGGCCCTCCCGAGCCCGGGGGGGGGCGGCGGGGTCCTGGCCGGGGGGGGACACGCGCAGACCCCGGGCCGCCTCGCTCCGGAACTCGTAGGTCTTGGCCTTCGCCTTCGCCTGGGCCTGCGGAGCGACAGCACAGAGCTGACGGCGCGAACCGCTAGGAACAGCGCTCGCGCACCGGGGCTCGGTCAAGAGATATAAGAGCACTTTATTAGCCCTGTACAAGTTCTTGCATTAGGAATCTGTCTTTTCACTACTCCAGCTCACTCTCCATGAGACACACCGACAGGGAGAGAAGCTGGGGGTCAGAGCGCAGGGTCAGCCATCGATACTGCGCCCCTGGAGCAGCTGGGGTGAAGGGCCTTGCTCAGGGGCCCAGCGGGATTTGAACCTGCAACCTTCCAGCCACAGGTGCAGATCCTGAGCCCAGAGCCAGCGCTCCGCCCCGTCACCAGAGCTGAGAGTCCCACCTGTGTGCAACAGAACCGCCTGGAGCCGAGAAACGGCAGCGGCCCGCCCGCCCACTTCACTTCTGAGTAACCGGGACGCCGGCCCGCGCACAGCCAGGCAAGGGCACAACGGTGTGAAAGGCGCCCCCCCATCCAGAGGGCTCCCCAGGGGTGCTCGCGGGAGGAAGCGGGCACGTGGGCAGGGCGCGCGTGTCAGGCACCGGCGACCGCGCTGCTCGCCTCCCGCGCGCCCCGACACTCACCTTCAGCAGGAAGGTCTTGGGCTTCGGCCCTCGCTTCTTGGGCCCGAACAGCTCCCGCTCGCGTTCCCTGCAAAACAGGCCAGCGGCAGCGTTACAGCGCGCAGCGAGGGCGGCGCAGAAGGCCTGCAGGCGCGCCGCGGCCGCCTCACCTCTCTTCAAAGGCGGAGAACAGGCGCGCGTCCAGGATGTTTTCCTCCGGCTCCCAGGTGCTGTACCTGCGCAGAGCAGAGCAGAGACGGAACCACAGACACCATCAGTAACCACAGCGTCTTGTTTCTGGCTCGCTCGACACACACACGGAGGCTCGCTGAATCGTTAGCTACGGTCCGCTGCGCATTCAACACAACAACAAAAATAAACCCCAGAAATGCGCCCGTGCGACACGCACACACACACACGCCGCGCTGCCGACAGAGGCGCAGACTTACGCGCTGATCAGAGAGAGAAAAGTCCTACTCACTTCTGAGACCAGCCCTTCCATTTCACTAGGTATTCCACCCGACCCTGCGAGAGCGAGCAGAAGACACGTTGTTATCGGGCTGGGATTGCAATGGCATCAGCGCGCACACAGCCAGCACCAGCAGCAGAGGGAGGCAGGGCTACCTACCCGTCTTATCCGCCGTTTGATGATGGACTCGGCCGCAAACACCCGCTCCCCTACAGCCGACAGCTCCATGTTTACTTCGATCTCGGGCTATTTTTTTCCTCTGCTCAACTAGCTGCTTAATTCCAGGCAGCCCATAATACTCACCAAAAGAGAGACGTCACCCGTATTTTTTTATGGGTTGCCATGGCACCGCCGTCGGTGGACCGGTTTAGCAGCAGCCCATTGGCCCAGACGTTGCTACGTGACTTGGGTTGCTAAGCGATGGGGCGGAGCCTGTCGAGGGCTCGCGTTCTGTCAAGGAGGAAGTGACGCCTCTGCAGAAGCTGCTCTTCGCCTGCTCTGGTGTGGAAAGTCTTGCGCTGGTATTTGCAAACAGTGGAAAGAAAAAACCGAAACGCTCGACGGCGTTCTTGCGCACGCACCAGACTGCAGACAGCGCACCGAAACGAAGATTACAGCCCCTCATCAAACTTTCGAAAACCTGTCTGCAAACGTTTCCATTACTTTTCCGTTTGTATAACTCGGCTGAAAGTTCAAACTGGTATATCGATATAGTTTTTTTTTTATTCAGGAAGACTCTGAACTCAGGGTTAACGATTTTAAGGAGGGAAGGCTCTTAGCTCAGCGTTGCTCTGCACAGATAAACGAATAATGTAAACGGATTTGTAGAAGAAGGTCTTATAGGACCCTTCTGTTTCTGGGACAGCAGTGAAGTCCAGAAACACGGAAAGGGGCTGTTGGCGCCCCGGATTCCACAGCGCACAGCGGCTACAGGCGCCTCACGGGCTGGAAACCCCAGTTTTCCACCTCCGACCCTGCAGCCCGGGGACAGGGGCGCTGGCGTGTGTGTTTCACCTTTCACGTGGACATTCCATCCACAAATGATAATAAACCTGATCGCGGCTCCATGGCGTTTTCCAGAAATAGATTTATAGGATATACCGAGGGCATATCCACAAAATAGCCAGTTCGTTTATTTTATTTAATGTGTACAATACCCTAAAGGTACAGATTGTTTGGTTATTTTAATGCTCTGTGAGGGCGCCTCATTAGATCTTACCATTAGAACGAGTAAATGCCAGAGCAGTGCTAAGCGCGCTAACAGCTCAGCCACGACATTCAGAACAAGGCGCAGACGGAACACCACTGGCGTGATATTAGGGGCAATCCTAGGGACATTTTTTTCAAAACTCCCACAGAAATCATTAAAACGCGTGCAAGCCTGCAACACAGGGCGTCTCAGAACGTTATTTCGTTTCGTGTTTATATTCAAAATAAAGAGCAAAGCGGAGAAGCTCACCCGGAGAAAACTTGACACACGCGTGTAGGCATCTGACAGAACTACGGACCATTTAAACAGCTTAAAAGTCTTGAAATAGCGAGGCAGATAGATCTGGACCATTTCCAGTCCAGTTTTCTCCATAGCGATTACTGAGATGGTCTTTGAACGGTCTTGAAAGAATAAAAATGGTTTCACCGGCAGCCGTAAACGTATCACGCAAACGAAAAATCTCAGTTTCTGAATGTATTTAAAATTATGAACAAATAAAATCTAAAAGATCAAATATAACTCACAATAAAATACACGAATAAACTTCACACGCATCAACACGCATTAATACGCGTGGACACACATGAGCTCATTCGTTTTAACATGAACACCCATGGACACACGTTAATACACACTTCAAGTTTAATAAAGTAAAAATAGATACAGAATACAAAGTCGTTTAATTTTCAGCACGGGAGGGGGATCTGTTAATTACTAACTTAAATGAAACATCGATATTCAGTCGCACGACAGAGCTCTTGCAGGATAGTGTAGCGAGGTCACGTGGAAAAATATTTTTATTTTAATGATATATCCCATATATCATTAATAACGCTATATCGTCTCTTCAGGATGATCCTAACAGAGTCCGTTTAATGTAGTGTCGACATCCAGCAAAATGACGAAGGAAACAAAAGGAATCTAAACAAATAAAACCATTCTACTCTACAAGACAATGTGTATTAATATGGGCGTATTTATGATTACAAAACGTTGCTTGTATTTTTACTTTTCATTGTGGAATTAACCTTTACATTATTATTATTAATATGAATATTAAAATGCACCGATAATGGTATATAAATAATAGATGTGTAAAGGTTAATTCCACGATTAAAAATAGCTTGAAACTCAAGCAACGGTTTAGCTGTTCGGTGTCCTTCGAAGATAAAGGTCTTTACGGGATTTTGCAGGTTTTACGGAATGGAAATAATTTGTTCGTTTGCAGCCTCGCTTACTAATTGAGCTTTCAGCTTCAATAACAACCAGTTTTGTTTTCGTAGAGAAGTGTGCGGCGATGTTCTGACGAGCCGACGAGCCGATGAGCTTCCAGCGGGTACCTGAGACCTGCGGAGGCAGTCGGGAGACCGGAGCCTCTCAAGTCAGATTGGAGAGAAAACGAATTCGGACGCCTCGGAAGCTGAGTTTTTAAACCTTTGGGTTGTCTGGTTTACAGTTCCTGAGACGTACAGTTCGCACGTCTTTCCAGCGCGACCCGGCGCCGGCAAAGCCGATCCCTGTCTCGAGAGAGTGGCCGTGGACGATCCCACCGCGAGCGAGCGGCACGCGGACGGCACCTTTATCCCGTGAAAACTCCTTCGATTGACCCACAATTTCAACATCGCTTCCGTACAGAGAGTAATGCTGCAGGGAATTTTCAGTTTGCGTTATTGTTATTCTTAATGTCCGGTTTATTCGTTTATCGCTGTTCCTTGTATGTGTTTTGTTGTAATATTCACGCATTTCGAATGTCTCTGATCATAATTCTGTGATTGTGAATTCTGTGATCATGGTTATGAATCAACATTCTGTGTGTCTCATGGAGAGCGAGCTGGGGTCTGCGAAAAGACGAATTCCTAATGCAAGAAATTGTATAGGGCTAATAAGTGATCTTATCTTATAATTCGAACATTTGAATTGTTGTTGTTGCTGTTCTGCTCATTTCGCGAGGCGTTTGTGCAGCACTTTTACGAAACTCTCCAGTGGTAACGAATAGACAAAATGTAATTTGAAAAAGTCGACTGAAGTCGCTCCTAGGAATACTGTAGACGCGACGCTCAAGGTCGCCCAAAGGTAGGTAGGTCATCGCCAGGCGGAGAGACAACATCTCATTTTAGCAACGTCGGAATATAGAAAATCTATAGGAATAGAGAAAATAATTAAACGGTTAACCATTACTTCAGAAAGAAAAATACTAAACGCGAAAAAGTCCTCACAATTTAATCGATTAACTTAACGAGGATCAGGATGTAAAAATATCTATATTTTACCTCACACATTTCTGAGTTACATGCTTCACAGGTCGCGAAAGTACGAAAATTAGGCAGTGATTCCAAGTACATCATACATCAAGAATATCGCCTGTGATGTCAGGTTATATATTAATCTTAGTCACCCCCTTTGCACAAATAAATACACGCACGGAAAAACGTAAACACGCACTGTCGTTCGCTCACAATCGATTGCAGATCGATTCGACGACACGCCCCAAAACTGACTGCATCGCACCCACGAGACCACAAGTTTTTCACAAAGGTCAATAACTTGGAGACACAACAACGCGCCTCGTTCAATTGCGTTATGCGCGTCTCCACGAAGTAAAACACACAGCCCAATAACAGGCTGAGGATGAGACTCACTGTGGAAAACAGCGCTGTCGCTGGAGAGCGTGATCAGAATCAAAGTGCTGCTGTAAAAGTACAGCAGGAATAATAACGGTAACAATATAGATAATGATTATTATTATTCGATAATTTTATATGAAACAACGGAGACGACACGAGCTCTTGTTGTTTATTTAGATCGATTTATCCTGTGAACGAAATAGGTTTTCGATTTTCTCCTTCTTCTGTCTTCTTGTATTTTATGGTTTTTCGTTTTCTCTCGCTGTACAGACAGGTAACACGAGTCGCCGCTCAGTCGCATCTCTGTGTAACACTGGGAGCCTCTACAGAAGCCGTGCAATTATGATTATGATTATGATTATGATTATGATTATTTCCCTCGCCTGGCCCCGATATCAGTTACCCCGAAGGCTGAATTGTTACCTCCGGAAACTCCAGCAGTAGTGCAACTCATTACACACTTCACACGAGACCACAGCGCCAGATGCAGCTACTGTACTCTCACAGCGAGCAGGAAAGTTATTTTTGCTGCCTAGTTTTCACACACACCCGGCGCAGATGACTGGGCATTAAGTGTGCTGCGAGACCACTTTGAACATATAAAAAAAAATGATTTATTCGTTTGCAGCAGCCTGCTGTCTACTGGGTACTGCAAGCACTGTCAAGATAAATAAATAAGACAGGAAACAGGCATCCTTTAGCGAACCTGTCGGAAGGGTGGGCACCGGGCGGCGAGGGAAGGTGTCTTTCGAGTTAGAAACACGCGCAGCGCTGCAGTAAACACAGCTCCCCGAGCCGGGGCACCAGCAGACTCGCTCCCCGGTGCTGTACAGACAGGTAACACGAGTGCTGTGCTGTGCTGTGCGGTGCTGCCTCGCGGGAGCCCAGACCGGCGAGAAGGAATTCCCCCGCCCGAGACGAGGGCGCGAGCGGGTTCAGGTGTGAGGGGCAGTCTGGGAAAACGAAGGTCAGCCAACAGCGGGGACCGGGCGTGGCTCACTCGCTCGGTCCGGTCGGAAGTGCCCCTCGGAATCGGCCACTGTCACAAGGCGCCCCGGCTCCCCGGACCGGCTCCTGCGAATTGGCGGCAGATCTGTGCTGACGTGGGTCTCGCTCCACGGCCAGGAGTGAAGGAATCAATTCCGTTGTCTGGTGGCGTTTAGGAGGAGAGAGAGGAGAGGCAGAGACGTGAAAAGACTCCATTATAAAACCGCCATAACGGAGTCCGTTTACCGTCGATGGTTCGGGCTCCAGTCAAACACCTATAATTCCTATAATGATACACAGGGCTTGTTCTGCAGGGTGTGATACACAGGGCTTGTTCTGCGGGGTGTGATACACAGGGCATGATTGCACTGTTAGAGCCGGGAACGCGCGGGCTCCGTGCGCATGGTCCGAGAGTCGCGCCAGTCGCACCGGCGGCTCTGGGCGTGACTGGTGTGCGGTACCGAGAGGCTGGCGGCGGTCCGGACCGGTGCGGGGGGTCCCGGAGGACCGAGCCCCGCCGCCAGGACCGCGACTTCACGCGTCGCGCGCAGGTTCCAAAACGCGAACGAAAATCTTCATTCCGGCGGGGGGGCGGCGCGAGGGACAAAAGGATTCCGCAGCGAGTCACGACGACCCGATATCCGTGACTTTTTCATGCTTTTGGTTTGATGGAATGGGGCATTGCATTTCAACTTTTTTGAAAAAAAAAAACCCAAAGAAACAAACATGCATTTATACATAAAATAAGAACTTTATTTTGACAGAGCTAGCGTCTCCGCATCTTTCATTTTGGGGAAGAAAAGACTTTCGTATTGCACGACGGACCCATGTGAAAGCGAAGAGGAATGAGCTGACAGTCTCGAAGGTTACTCGCGACGGCATCGTGTTTCCGTGCGTGTACAGTGGCGTTATGCGAAGCTGTTATCTATAACAACAATAGCGCGGCTCATTTTTCTGGCGTCGAATTGACTCCGAGCACCTCTCGCGGCAGAGCGAGCTAGGTACACGGGCTGCATGCGGGTCTCCTTATATGGTGGTGAAGGTGATTGGTCTCCGCGCGCCCGCACTGCAGCACTGAGCACCGTATATGGGCGAAGAGCGGAGCTGTGAAGAGATTATTGGCTCGCTGGTATCTGGGCAACCAGTTTCACCCAGTGCAAGCGAGCCGACGAGAACTGCAAACTGCCCCCTCCCCCAAGACACACACACTCTTTTTGAACAGCCCTCTGTCAGGGCAACACAATCGCGAGAGCGCGAAGGCTCACACACCCGGGGCCAGTGCAGTTTCACCACTGGTTCTGCACGAGCACATGTTTCAAGTTTTTGTGCTGATAGACGAATGGCTTACGTCTGTAGCCTGAGCACCATGCGTGTTTATTTCTGAATGGTTTATTAGTGATGCTATTTTAGCCAAGTGTGGTATTCCCTAAAGTTAAATGCTTATTTTCGTGGTTTTGCACAGCGGCAGAGCGCCGTGAGAGAGTGCCGTATGGTTTCGGCAGTGAGGAGCATGACTGGTGTAGACAGGAGATGTCAGGGACGATGCGCAGTGGGAGACTGGTGGAGTCACCAGTGAGCTGGAGCTCGGGGAAGAGCGGGCAGGTGGAAACACCGGGGGGGGGGTCACCTGCACTGACCGGCGCCACGCATGTTAAACTCCGTTCAAGAACATGATCTAAACTCTCCCTGTGTGTCAAGTATGCCACGCTCGCAGCTCGTGTCCGCCTCTCGTGGGCCCGCCAGTACAGGCTACAGTAGGCACTAACCTACTTTCAGGCTCGCAATCGATCTGGGCTGCAGGGTGACCGGCAGGCTGCCGTGTGGAAAGAGGGCGCGTCCAATCGCAGTGCGGCAGGTTCGAAACCACGAACCCGGCTGTGCCTTCAGAACAGCTCCCAGGGCCCGGCCACCCCCCGGGAGAGCTGCTCACAGCACAGACCCGCTCTCTGGGCTCCGAGCCCCACGGGCCAGGGGGTTGCAGACGTGCCTGAAACCCAGAAAAATAAACCCCAAAAAAAGAGCCACCACACTGACATCAGCGGAGCTGCCTGGGCACTCCGGGCCTGGCCCGGGTCTGACTCGGGCGTGATGTGGGTCTTTAATACAGTCCGGGCTTTCGCTCTCCTCTCCAGCTCCGCCTTGCCCCGCGGTCGTGCCGTGGGTCTCGGTGAAACTAAACTTTCGGATTGTGTTGGCACGCTTGTCTTCGTCAGGTTTCGACAGCGGAGCGACGCGTCTATTTCAAAGTTCGATATCTTAAGAACAAAGAGACAGCAGAACTCGTTGATTTCACTGTATAACTGAAGTCCAGAACGAACTTCACGTGTCTTAATGTTTAGATATAAGATGGCAGACGGGAAGCCTTTAAAAACGTTTTAATTCTGTAACATTTGCGGTATTTTAATAATCCACAGATGTTCTGATTACTTTAAAGCGGTTGATGCTTCATCTATAGGCCTAAGGCTATAGGCTGTGTATTTTAATTAGGTGTTTTAATTAGGGAGAAGACTACGCATCAACAAATAAACGCCGAAGCTGACAGATGACTGCTGACTGCCAAGATCGAATATTACCGCTCGGTGCTCCACCAAACCACAGCCTCCTGCAACAGCGGATAGATACAGACGTTGACACCCGTTTAGCGATTAAAGCATGAATTCGACAAAGCTGTTTAAATAACTAAAAATTCAATATAAATCTGAAGGTTAATAATAGACTCCTCAAATATGTCAAGCTATTTCAAATAAAGGCGTTATGCCGCGGACACCAGGGGAAATATGGGAAAGATAAACCAACCGGACGGAACAGATTGGCGTCCTCTAAACTGATTAAGGAAATTTCCCTCAGCAAAAACAAACAAACAAATATGATACATATTATAAATATTATAAATACTGTACAGGAGGAATAACTGAAATCTGTCCACCGCGAGAATCACCAGAAGACAATTCTGGTGTTTTTGCTGAGGAAGACGTTTCTTCTTTAAAGGTCAGAAGCCTAAATTAAACGAACAGTAAAATGGTCAAAAACCGTCAATCAAATGCAGATAGAAAATGTGCAGATGAACAACGTTCCAACATATTTATTTCAACTATTATTTCCGGAGACGCGGAGCCGGACCTGGGAGGCGTTGTCGTTTGGACTCGGGGAGAGAAGCTCTGCTCTCCGTTAACAGGCAGCG